AGGAAGGTAGAGTGGTGGGTCCTGGAACCAGTCAGTCCCCTTTGGATACTGACAAACAACTGTACACAGTTCTCTAGGTCCCAATATGAATTTGGGCTTTTTCTTTAAGTGACATGGGAAGCCCTGGATGGTTTTGGGGAGTGAAGTGATAGGACATGACTTACTTATGCTCCATACTCTGGATCCTGTGTGTAGGAGAAACTATTGGGATCCAAGGGTGAGAGTAGGAAAGCAAGCTAGGGAGACCATTGGGGAGACTGTTGTGATAATCAGGTAAAAAATGTCTTGAATCAGAGAGGTAGAGTGGCAGCACATGGAAAGCGACTGGATTCTGCACTTTTTGAAGGATGAGAGGATAGAATTTGCTGATGGTTTGGGTGTGGGATGTGAGAGACATAGCGGAGTTAAGATGGCTATGAGACCTTTGCTCTGCACAAAATTCTGCATCTCTGCGATGAGGAAGACCTTAACTGGGCTGAGGAAGACTTCAGGAGTGAACTGGTTTGGGGGACACGTAGAGCTCAGTAGGGCACTGGTTCAGGGTGGGGGGAGAATAGCCATCAGGTTTAGTTGCGTGGTGTTTGAGATATAGTGCCCAACCAACTAGAGATGTTGAGTAGGAGACGGAGGTGCAGTTGAGGTTTGTGGAGATGACTGTGGTGTGCATTTGAGCAATCAGCCTATAGATGGTATTTAAAGCCCTCAGAGTGCTGAGGTCACTAGGGGGTGAGAGGAGACCACACAGAGAAGAGGTTTAAGGACTGAGGCCTGGATCCTCTTGTGTTTAGAGCTTCAGGACTGAAAGACCTGAAAGATAGGAGAACTCTTCAGTTAGAAGACAAGGGAAGAAAGTGTTTCAGGGATGAGCCTGCTCAATCTTGTCCCTGCTGCCCAAGTACCCAGCCAGGTGAGGATGGCAACTGACCATTGGTCTTAGCAATGAGTAGTCACTAATGCTTCTGAGAAGAACCGTTTCCATGGAGTAGTTGGGGTGAAAACCTGCTCAGAGTGGATTTGGGGCAATGGAAAGAGAGAAATTAAAGACAGGAAATGTGGAAGAGTTTTTTGAAGACTCTAGTTGAAAAGAAGAGCAGGGGCAGATAGAATGTCCAGGAAATGTCTTATTTTTATCATGGCAGATATGACAGCATGCCTGTAACCTTTAGAAATGATTCAGAAGAGAGCGAAAACTTGCTGATGCAAGACAGAGAGGGGGAGGGACGGTTGCTGAATCAATGTCCTTGATTTATAGGAGATGGGACTAGTACACAGAGCAAGAGGTTAGTCTTGGCTAAGAGCACTGAGAGTTTTATCGTAAGTGACAGAAAGTAGAGAAGAATGTGCACAGATAGACACAGGTAGGTTGGTAGATAGAACGGTGAGGAGGAAGGGTGTGCTCACTTACTTCTAATTACTTCTTTTTTACCAAGGAAAGAAACAAGGCCATGAGCTGTGAGTAAAAGGCAGAGGTTTAATGAAGGAGGAAAAGATGCAAAACAGTCCTTTGAAGAGTAGGAGAGTGGACAGGGAAGAGTAATAGCTTCCCTGTAATGCTACGTTTTAAACCTATAAAAACACTATAGGTAGGACACATAGGTAGGAGGATGGGTCAATGAGAATCTCTTGTTCAGATAGAGTTACATGCCATAGGTTTATAATAGTAAAACCTTAAAATTAAAACAACTTTGGATATCATTTAATCTTGGATACATTTGAGGGTACTCTGAATCTTTTTAATGATTCAGTGTCATCTTTCAGAATACCAGTTAGTAGTCCCCATAGATGTATAGCCACTGACGATAAGGTCTGAGGGGTATGATAATAATTTGGATAAACTAGACTTTAACTGTAAAACATGCAAATGTAAACCAGTGTTTCTAACATCCTATATGTTATATATGTATATATAATGTTAGAAATGCTTATGTGTGCATTTATGTGTGTGTGTGTATATATATATATATATAGTGTGTGTGTGTGTGTATTTATATGTATGTATATAATATGTGTACTCTCTAGTTTGGTAGGCTTCTTTGTCAACCTTATTCTGTGTTTGATATATTAGCCTGTTTTGTTGAGTATAAGTGAATAGCCAGAGGAAAATGAAATGTGATTAATAAACTAAGAAGCAAATTGGGAAGGAATAACACAGTAAGTAAGCAGAAGTTCTCCTCATCAGCAGGAAAAGTTACAGCTCATTTCTGGGTGTGTGGAGAGGACTGAGCAAAGATGAAAAGGGAGGGAGTGGGTAGGTACTGGTTTGAGATTTAAGCTGTGCTTGGCAAACTCTCTGTTCCCCCTTTCCTTCTTCTGCTGCCCCTTGTCTGCTACTTTGAAGCCTCAGGAAGGCCAGGGAGGATATAGTGGGAGTACTTGACCCAGACAATGTGCAGATGGAAATTCAGTTTTGGTTGATTTCACTTTTTTATCTCTTTCAGAAATGCTTATGGAATTTCTGCCTCCGGTGAGTGGTCAATAGTAGCCTAGGACCTTGAAAGAGTAGTTTTAGCTCCCTACTAAAATTTCTATTCTTTTCCTAGGCCTGAAGATTAGGGAAATTATCTTTGTAATTTGCTATTGTTGGGTTTTGAAATCCAATACCTATCTCTTGAGTCTCATAAGTAGCCTTGAAAAAGTTAACAGATTTGGCTAGCAGTGGGGTCAATTGTTTCAAAAGGCTGCCTGGGAGTCATAAAACAGGTGGCCTTGAGATTGTGCTTTGTTGGTCCATACAGATTGACCTCTATCCTTTAACAGCAAAACTGTTAAAAGTTAACCGAGCAACAACTAATTTATAATATCAAGCTATGTTATGAACAATTGATCCTTACAACAGATTCATAGGACTGATGGTAATGTTCCATTGTGTTTCTTTGTAAAAAATAAAAAAAATGTGGGGGCTGGGGATGTGGCTCAAGTGGTAGTGTGCTCGTCTAGCATGCATGAAGCACTGGGTTCGACTCCCAGTACCACATAAAAATAAAAAGTAAAGATATTGTGTCCACCTAAAACTAAAAAATAAATATTAAAAAAAATGTGCTAGTAAACATACCATGTCTTTCCTTCCTTTCTTTCCTCCCTCCCTCCTTCTTTCTTATAGTTATCTTGGTGGAAGTGTGGATGTATTTAGTTTGGATCTTTGGTATGAATTAGCATATTTATTAAATAACAAGAAATCTGTTTTGAGTTAGTGTAAAAACAAATAATGAACAATGGATTCCCTTTGAAATTACCATAATAAGGACAATATTTGGTTGTCTTTGTAGCTGAAAAAATTGTCAACATGTAGATACACTTAGTGAAAATGACCTACTGCAATATGAAACATTAATTTTTAAATTATTTGATGTAAAAGGAAAATATCTGTTATTTTTTGGAAATTTTTATAAGTCTAAGAGCTACAGAATTTTAAAGCTGTATTAGCCTAACATAGGCCACCTCTAATTTACAGATGGAATCAGAGACGTTATAGAACTTCTCAAAGAAATTCAATTATTAGGAACCAAACTCAAACCCTAGTTTCCTGACTTTATCTAGTGCTTTCATAAAAAAAAAAATCATTCTACCACTTAAATTTCTAACATTAAAAACATTCATGGCCAGAGAATTTAAGCTTGCTAGTGACCTGAAAGTCTTAACTGCCTCATCTCCCTGTTCTTAGGCTCATGTTTTAGTTTCTAGTTCTATGGGAATGAGCTAAATAACGAATTCTCCATATTAATGTATATGGTGGATCCTATTTTCTAATTGAGAAATAATTGAGATATAATTCATCTACTATAGAATCTAGTTTTACTCATCCATTTTGAAATCTAAAGTTTAAGCTTAACATCTATTCACAGCACTCATTTTTTACTTGGGGTAAATATATAAAACCCACACAGAGAAGTTTTTGCAATTAAAAGAAGAAACAGGATGAGACAATTTCATCTTCAACCTTAGGAGCATTTTGAAAAATAGAAAAAAAAAGGAGTCTGAAAATGTTTAAAGATTTTTTTTAAAAAAATGCTGTTTCTCTCTGCTTCTTCCCTAGTGAATAGGGATTTTAAGAGACAAAGATGGAGAAAGAAGGGATTAAAATCACTGGAAAAAGACATGATGTGAACAGAAATGGGAGGCGAGTTTAACCGAGTTGAAAACTTGACTGCGATGCAGAAACCTATATACCCTCCATGGTAGGACAAAAACAAAGTACTGAGGACACATATGGACTGTTGCCTTAAATTAATACTTCAGACCTCAGTACCTACTATGTTCCAATTCTATGCAGAGGTTGAGAATACAAAGATGAACCAGACAGATCCTCAGGCAGCCCAGTCTGGTGGGGGTGTGTGTGTATACGTGCTAGTTGGAGGGTTGGAGGGAGGAGGATGGTTCAGGGGCTTGTGGGGATGAAATTATATGCAAGGTTGATAAACTATATATGGTGGGCATTTGGAAGTACAGATACACGCTAGTTTCTAGTGCTGCAGAACTTTAAAACATTAGTCTCATTTGTCAGATTGGGCCAGATAGCAAGACGCAAGTCTACAGATGCCCTCTCAGATACGTTTTAAAATCTTCCTTCCTCTTCCAGCATTTGCCTTCCTCACCGGTAGGGCGTCGGGCACCGGAGGGGGCAGGTGCAAACTGCACCCACGTTTGCTGCCTCCGCTCTCCGCAGGAGACAGGAATCCAGGGCTTTGCCGTCGTCATGGCAACCAGGAGTTCCGCGGTCCCCTCCCTCCTCCGACTCCTTTCACTTCCCTCCGAGGCTGGGCCGAGCTGTCGCTTCTCTCGCGAGATTTGCGCCCAGCTCCGAGCAGCCCCGCGGTGATCTCACCCGAGACTTGGCGGGGAGCGAGGGAGTGAAGGAGGGGAAGGAATGGGGCGGGGAGGCGGGGAGGGGAGGAGGAGGGCGAGCGCAGCGCCGCCACCGCCGGCAACTTTGTGAACGAGTTCAGTGCGTGCGTGAGCGAGTGAGCGAAAAGTCAGTGCGGCGCCGAGTCCCTGGGAGGAGGGTGTCCAGGGAGGGCCAGGTCTGGGCCCCTGGGGCCGCCCCCCAGCCACTCCATCCCTTCCCGCCCCCTGTGGCTCCCTCCCTATTTCCTCCCTCACGAGTCCTCCGGGGCCTTCCAGCCCCCGTCGGCAGTTACCTGTCCCCTCCCCCACTCGTCACGCACCTCCCCTTTCCCTGCTCCCACCTCGGACCTCTGAACCCTGGACGCCCCGCCGCCCTTCAGCTTTTTCTCCCGGGTGCAGGCGAGGGTGGAATGAGGGCTGCTGAGCTTTGGGGGTGGCGCGAACCGGGGCCCCGGCGCCTAGACAATAGTTGATGCCCAGGGACAGGCACCTTCGTCCCCTACTCCTCCCGGAGGGCAGTCCCCGCCGGTTGCTCGCAGCCCGTATTCCGGGTCCCCCTCAGAGCCAGGCTAGAGAGTTGGGCTGGTTTCACCCCCGCCTCCCGGATTAACCCTAGGCTCGGCACTCGGCGCCCGCTGTTCTCTGCATAGGAGGCGGCGAGTGAGCGCGCACAGAGTCTGCACGGTTTCTTTTTCTCCCCAGGGAGAGCGCGCGGCGAACGCGCCCGGACGCGCGGCGGCACCCCGAGGCGGGCAGAGCGGTAAGTCGTCCCCGCGTCCCAGGTCCGAGCAGGGAGAGGGGATGCAAGGCTACTGGCAGTCCTCTGTGCTGTCTCTGGCTGAGGATAGGGTCCAGGGCCCGGAACAGGACACTGGGAGGACACTTAAAGTTTGATTTTCTATTTGGTGGCGTGCTGATAGCGCAGCCCGGCGGGGACGAGTCTGGGCTCCATCGCACCGGGCGAGCGCGCACGCACGCACCTCCGAATCCACATCTGCACTACTGCCCGGCAGGCGTCTTTGCGAGAGGCAGGGTGACCTGCGCCCCCGCCGAGTAACTACGCTCACCCTGCCCCTCTGGTCTCCAATGAGCGATCCCTCCCCTTCGGTCACCTGGGTGAGCACTTTTTTCAGGTTGTGTTGGAGAGGACAGGCCGAGTGGTTAATCGTAGGAGAGGGAGAGGTTCAACTCGGGGCCCAAGACTGTTAATTTCCTCTTGGGGTTCTTGGAGGATTGAAATCCAGGGATGCTCTAACCTGCTTTCTTTGGAAAAAGTAAACCGTGAGAGGGCTGGAGAGGAGTGAGGGTGCTGCATAAAGAAGTTTTCCTCCTCGGCCTTATCTGTTTCCAACTTACGACCTCAAAGGAAATTTGCAAGGTTTTCAAATCGCAGCACGGCATTTTTAGGTAGGCTGGTTGCAGTTTCGTGGGGACTCACCGTGTGGAAAAGAGAGACACAAGGGAAATAGTTCACTTTTCAAGGAAGGTGATGTTTTACTGAATTGTTGGCCTTCGTTTTCGAAGGGAAGCATTTGGTAATGGATAGCTCCTAGACTGCATTTACCTTATAGATTTTATTTTTCATGACGGGTAGTTGAGAGGCAGCATTCATTGAAATTCATACTACCTGCTAAACGATTGTATTTCTAAAGTGGAGCCAGTGATGCGATGCAAATTTCAGAGTGAAGGTGTCGACTTTCATCAGGTTCCAGGTCTATCTGGATGAACTGGGGTTGGCGTTTCCTCTATAAAGCAAGCCTTTCATGTTGAAAGTCTGACTCAGAGTCTTAAAGCCATTGTTTTTATACTGGTACTCTGTGGGAGTTAAGTGTCAACTTTCTCCCGTCCCCCCACCCCCAATATGGAATGTCTTCCAAGGCAAAGATTCTCTTGATTCTTTTGGAAAAGTACAAGATTAAGTCCTATTGGAATTGCTCTCTGAAGCCAGTTTAGTATTTTCTATAGAATCCTGATTTAATGACTTACATTTTTTCCTTTTTTGAAAGCTGCAATTATGCTTCCTTTACCAGGATGGAAAAAAAGCTGATGGGATAATTTAGAACAGTGGTAATAGCAGAAGTCTCAGTTAAAAGGTTTAAGTAAAGTAGTTTTATGGTCACTGATGTGTCCAAATATGAGATGACATCCCAGTTATTAACTAGAATATTATTATTATAGCATTTTCCCCATGGAATAAATTATTTATATTAAAACATTAGCAATTAAGAATGCATTTAAAATGACTTGGGTGATGGTTCGCACATAAATGGTTAGGAGCAGCATAAAATTTGGGGGCATGAATGCTTTGATATCACTGACGACTTATTTTCTTTTCTCATTAATGCTTGCTTAAGTACAGAGCTCTTGAAATTGACTATCATTATTAAATTTCTCCAAGTTGATGGAAACAGCAAGTTTAGCAAGTGGCTGCAGACAGTCAGTAGGTGTTGCTGTTGTTAGCTTCTCTGCAGTTCCTGGTAGTGCTCCTTGTGTTTGGAATCATGATTTTAGTGCAGTGAACTTTTTAGATTTGAAATGTCAGGCAGTGGTAATGATATCATTCCATGACAAGGTTGATTTGAACTCTTGGTAGTAATTCCAAAGCATCTACCTGCAATTATATATTGAGATTCATTTAACTTTTCTTTTGACTCTATCCTTTCACTGGTGTTTTCTGGCTTTTGTGTTGCATTTTTGCTTTGAATTACATTTGTAATTTTGGTATATTCCCCTCAGTTTGATTTAACGGCTTTTAAATCACACTTGGCAAGTTATTGAAGTCATAGGTTGAAGATTGTTTGAGATTAGCATTTTTGTAGGCTTTGGGAAATCTTGGTTGACAGAGTTAAGATGTGTGTATGTTCTGTCTCAAGTTGCAGTTTGAACTTTTAAATAAATGGCACTTTTTTTTTTTTTTTTGTATTAGGGAGTGAACTTGGGGCCTTGTGTGTATTTGGCAAGTGCTGTACCATTAAGTCACATCCTAGTCCTTTACATTTTTTTTTTAATTGTGAGACAGGGTAAGTCTTACTAAGTTGCCCAGACTGGCCTTGAACTTGTGATCCTACTGTCTCAGCTTTTGGATTACAGGTTTGTGCCACTGGGTCTGGCAATAAATGACTTTTTTTTTTGTATTGCAGGGAATCAGACCTAGAACTTTGTGCACAGCAAACTCTCTGCCATTGAGCTAAATCTCCAGCCCAATAAACTTTTTGAGTATCTCTTTGAGCAGTGAAATAGGAGCATGAAGACTGAAAAGGTTTAAGGGTATAGATTCTCAGAATCTATCCTATTTTGTGGCAGGTTTGTAGTGATTAATGATAACATGATTATGTGACTCTTATCAATTTTATATTATTTCTACTAGCCCAATCATTGCACAAGTGAAATATGAACATCCTGAAGGTTTTCAGGTGACCTTTTCAGATTTGAGCCTTTCGAAGTTAAACTAAAAAGCTGGAGCTCTGGTGGAGCATGCTCCTTTCTTTGTTTTGGCTCAGGTTGCAGAAATTAAAGACTCAAATAAAAAATATTTTTCCCCCCATAATATCACTATATTCCTAACCTTTTGAGATTTATGGTGGGTAAAGCAATATTTATTGAGTGCCGCCATCTGGGAGGTGCACTGCTGGTTTCTGTGATTGCATTGGTGAGCAAGAGTGTGTTCTTGACCTCCTGGAACTGTTGATCCAGTGGGGCTATTTCTAGGAACCTGTTCTGGTTTCATATTACAATACCCCCATGTCCCTTTTAGGGTTTTGCATAATAGGCAATTATTTTTGAATTTTAACTTATTTAAAAAGTTTGAAATAATGTAGTCCATTTTAAGTCTGGGTTTTAAATACCATCTCTGCTATTTTCTGGCTGTGGTGATCTTAAAAACAATGAACTTCTTTCTGAATTTTACTTTTTCTGCAGCAGTGGGGCACACAACATGTTTCATACCTTTTCTACAAAAATTATGTGTATTTAAGTACTTTTTAAAACAGTAGGTCTTGTTTGCATTTTTTTCTTTTTAATGAACAGATATATGGGTGGTTGAAACTAGAAAGTGTTTTATTATTTATTTTAATTAGGTATAATGATAGCAAAATGAATTTTGATTCATTGTATACAATTGCAGCATAACTTTTCATTTCTCTGATTGTATACCATGTAGCGTCACACCCTATGTGCAGTTGTATGGTAACTGTGTCCATCTCATTCAACCATCTTTCCTGCTCCCATGTACCCTCCCCTTTGCCCCATCAAAGTTCTTCCAATGTTCCCATGCCTCCCCGCTCCCCATTTTGAATCAGCATCCACTTATCAGAGAGAACATTCGGCCTTTGTATTTTTGGGAATATCACTTAGCATGATATTCTCTAATTCCATCCATTTACCTGCAAATGCCATAATTTTATTCTCTTTTAATGCTGAGTAATATTCCATTGTATATATATACCACAGTTTCTTTATCCATTCATCTATTGAAGGGTATCTAGGTTGCTTCCACAGTTTAGCTATTGTGAATTGAGCTGCTACAGTATGCTGATGTGGGTATAGCTGGATCAAATGGTGGTTCCATTCCAAGTTTTCTAAGGAATTTCCATACTGCTTTACAGGTTGGTTGTACCAATTTGCAGTCCCACCAGGAATGTATGAGTGTGTCTTTTCTCCCACATCCTTGCTAACATTTATTGTTGTCTATATTCTTTTTTAAAATTAATTAATTTATTTTAATTAGGTGTATATGACAGCAGAATGCACTTTGATTGATTGTTCACAACTGCAGCACAACTTTACATGTATTCTATGGTTTTATACTATGTGAAGTCTTACAAGTACCTGGGGTAATGATATCCACTTCATTCCGCTATCTTTCCTGTCCCCACACACCCTCCCTGCCCTCCCTCCCCGTTGCCCAAAGTTCCTTCATTTTTTCTATGCTTCCCCCTTCCCTGTTATGGATCAGCATCCACTTATTAGAGACAACATTCGGCTTTTGGTTTTTTGAGTTGGCTTACTTCACTTAGCATGATATTCTCCAACTCCATCCATTTATTGAAGGTGTTTTGAGCATAATTTTTCTGTTTACAGATGAGGAGACTTGAGGCCTTTCACTTGAGGTGACTTGTTGAAGGTTATAATGATCAGGCAGTGATTTGAAGGCAGCCTTCCAGATTTAAATGTGTTCCTTTGTCTCCTGTCCCTCCCCACCCCCTTAGGGTCTCTTATGTTGAAATTTGTTTGTGACCCTCCCCTTAAGTGTTCAATGCTTATTAAGTAATTAGAATGAGGAGAAGCAAACCTAAGAAAAAAAACCAAATTTACAATAAGGTTGAAAGCTTGAAAATGGCATTAACCTTTGGATGTACTTAGACTACAGTGATGGAAAAGGAAACTGAATTGAAGTTTCTATATGATAGAGTCCATAGGCTTATTGTGTTTGTTTGTTTTAAAGAACCCCTTATTAGAGTACAATATACTTGTTTGATCTTTAGGAAAGCCAAGCTCAATTTATTCTAGTTCACTTTTTTCTTCCCTTCTTCAACTCATTTTAATTTGCAAATAGAAGTAGCTATACCTTCCTTGTTTCTGGAGCGAGGGCAACTTTTAGATTGCCAGGGTTACCAGAGGATCAGGGGTAAGTACAGTCAGGAACAAGGACATTAAACAGGAATGGGTTGTTGCAGCTTCTTGTTCACTGGTTTGTATGGCACCAGCCTACCTTGCCCCTTGAGTGATCAGAGCCAGGTGAGAAGAAACATCCTTGCCTGT